AAAAAAAAAAAAAAAAAAAAAAAAAAGGAGAAGAAAAAGAAAAAAAAAAAAAAACGATGATGGACGAATCGAACGTTTTAGGTATTCTTAGCGGCTTGTTTCGAGTTTCCGTGGAGAACGTTAGAGAACGAACAAGTCCTCGCAGCTCTTCGTTTTCCTCTTGAAGCCCAACAGGTGTTTCAAGATTCTCCGGCGATGCTTGTTCCGTCTCCGTCTGGTTGCTTGGTCGCGATCACGTTGCGGATTCAGCTTGATCTGCGCTAATATGCCGACCAGCAGCTCGTCCACGTGATGGGCAAGCCCCGACGAAGTTTCGATGAATTTGCAGCCGCAGTTGTTTGCCAAACGTCGGCCAACTGTTGGAACAGGCCAACCAATAATTGATTAACAGCATGTTGGACTCACGGGTGTGAACGAGTGATTATTAACGCGGTAATTTTTTTTCTTCTATCGAAGGGAAATTGGCGAGGAAAATAATTCCGGCAATGTTGGTGATTTTAGGCGAAATATTCAGAATATTGTGCACGAATTTGTTAAATTGTTTATATTTGTTATTTCTATTTTATGATTTATTAGTTTATTATTATATTTATTAATAATTTATTAATTTATTTATATATAATTATTTCTATATAATTTTTAATTATTATATTGCTATATAATTATTTCTATATAATTTTTAATTATTACATTTCTATATAATTATTTCTATATAATTATTTCTATATAATTTTTAATTATTATATTTTTATTATTATATTTATTATTAGTTTATTAAATTATTTATATATTATTTCTATATGATTTATTAATTTGTTATTATATTTATTATTAATTTATTAATTTATTTACATTTCATATATAATTTATTTAATTTATTACTTTATTTATATTTCTATATAATTTTATATTTATTATTAATTTATTAATTTATTTCTATTTCTATATAATTTTATATTTATTATCAATTTATTAATTTATTTCTATTTCNTTCTATATAATTTTATATTTATTATTAATTTATTAATTTATTTCTATTTCTATATAATTTTATATTTATTATTAATTTATTAATTTATTTCTATTTCTATATAATTTTATATTTATTATTAATTTATTAATTTATTTCTATTTCTATATAATTTTATATTTATTATTAATTTATTTATATTTTTTAAATTTATTATTAATTTATTAATTTATTTATATTTTTATATAATTTATTTATTTATATAATTAATGTTATTTCTATATAATTTATTAATTTATTATATTTATTATTAACTTATTAATTTATTTATATAGTTATTTATAAATTATTTCTATATAATTTATTAATTTATATAATTATTTATATACTATTTCTATATAATTTGCACAGGGTGGAACGAAAAGTTTGCCGATGGCTATCGTGAATGAATTCTACACGTTGAATTTCGAGGTGAAAACAATTTTTCTTTCTTGGATCTACTAGTCACATCGAGGTGAAACTTTTCCAAGGTCACAACAGTACTCTTGAAAAATGGTAAAGGTGAAACTTTTCCATAGGTCACAATAGCACTCTTGAAGAATGGTAAAAATGTTTCTTGATCATTGCGTGCTAACAGCGACTTTACGATTCTGAACATGTGAATGTTATATTACATAGTGTTTACATTTCGAATTATGTCAGCAGTTAGTTCTGCCATTCGATTGTTTATCATTCACAATGATGCTACACAACTACGATAAATGAAATGTCAGTGAAACCTAACGCGAAAATTACGTAAAATGGACATCGACCACGTGACCATAAAGTCGCTGTTAGCACGCACGTTGGCATAACCTAAGAATTACCCCAAAAATCAACCCCACATTTGAATCAAAAGAAGATTCCCTAAACGAGAGTAAATAAACCTAAATTGACCAACATAAATTTTTACACTAATCTAGGCTTGCAGTTAGTTATCTTTATCAATTTCTTAACGAGCTGTTCAATTGTTCTGAGACAGTTTGCCATCTCGCGTGATGCTAATTGCCACGCGTAATTACGCTCTCGTGCTCGTTGGCATTAGGCTCGAGGTATCAAGTGAAATCTGGCAATCGGTAATTCGAATCGAAATTACGAATTTATTTCGTGCATTAGGCGTCGTTGGACAGTATCGATGGTGGATATTGTAATTATCGCGTTGCTCTCACGTGAGACGATAATTAATTTCTTTTTTTTATTTATCACTCTGACCTAAAAATCAGTTGCAGTGACGAAACAAGTGAAAAAATAAGGAATAAAATCAAATGCTGTTTTATTTGACAGAATGTACGAATAGTGAAATAATTTTCCAGGGGAAGGTCATTTCCTTGTTTGAATATTATTTTAAAACTAAAATTCTGGAACGTTTACTGCAAATGTATCTACTGTACATACTACAAATACATTGCATATACTAATAGCAATATAATAATTTTCTGTACTAATAGCAATATAATAATTCTATAATAATTTTATAATTTTATAGTAATATAATAATTTTATAATTTTATAGTAATATAATAATTTTATAATTTTATAATAATAGCAATGTAATAATTTTATAATTTTATAACAATAGCAATGTAATAATTTTATAATTTTATAACAATAGCAATGTAATAATTTTATAATTTTATAATAATAGCAATGTAATAATTTCATAATTTTATAACAATAGCAATGTAATAATTTTATAATTTCATAACAACAGCAATGTAATAATTTTATAATTTTGTAATAATAGCAATGTAATAATTTTATAATACTGCATGTTTCATATGTTATAAAAATTTATTATACATATACACATATATCTGTTTAATTATATTTAGTAATAAATTGTACAGTGCAAAGCATGAATAAATAATCTTTTTAAATTTTAAATATAATAAGTTATGCTTACTTGAATAAAACAAGTTAAGTTATATGTTATATATATTATATATAGCTATAAATTCCTTTTATATAATAATACGTACATCATCAAATTTTAAATATCAAGTATTAAACTATCAAAAGTTGTTGCATTTAATTATTACACTGATTGTCATTTAATATTAATTTGATATGTTATTTAATATCAAAATTTGATACAAATGCAATAAGAGATGATGGATATACTCAATGAAAATGACTCGAAAGTACACTGACTTATTTATCTTACAAGGATTGATCATGCTGTACACTAATTCTGTACTACACATGTAAATATATCCTAGAAAAAATCCTTTATCACTTTTATGTAATAATTATTTCAACTTTCGTTCCAAATTTTACCAATCGTCGTGTTTCACTGTAGCATCAATAGAGTTTCAGAATATCCTGTACAATATTTGAATATTTCATTAGTACACGTTAACATTATTCCCCTTCGATTTTAAAAATATACAATTTATCATTATTCAACAGCATTCGAGTTGATACAAATTGATACAAAAATTAACAATCAAAAAAGAAGCAAAAAAAAAAAAAAGGGTAAATTTGACAATTCTAACGTATCGCGCGTCCAACAACATAAGCGAACGCGTTATGAAGTTTATTCTTTTTTTCATTGCACCAGCACGAACTCACCAACAGATGGGACCTCCCGTTTTCGCTCGAGATCAACTTTGTTCCCAACGAGTATCACGCCGCGGCTAGCCATGTAATCACTCTTCCACAGATACAACAACGTCTCCTCGGCCATTTTCAAGCTTCGTCTATCCACCACCGAGTAAACTACCACGTAAACGTCCGGGCTGTACGTCGAGCAAAATGTTTCGACCTGGAACAAACGAGGAAAAAGAAAAGTTACAGCAGTTTATTTTCTGTTCTTCTACTCATTATTTTTACATAATTATACATATTCTTTACATAATTATTTTTACATAATTATACATATTTTTTACATAATTATTTTTACATAATTATACATATTTTTTACACAATTATACATAATTTTTACATAATTATACATAATTTTTACATAATTATTGTTACATAATTTTTACATATTTTTTACATAATTATTGTTACATAATTATACATAATTTTTACGTAATTATTTTTACATAATTATACATATTTTTTACATAATTATTGTTATGTATATACGTGTGATACGTGCGTATATACTTGCACTTGAAATTTTCGGTAAGGTTAAAAGTAGATTTGCTGGTTTGTTCAATATTTCTATTTTATTGATCGATTTTTACTTGTGTCCAGCTTCTACTTTATTTATCAAGTTTTAGGTTTTTGTATATCAAGCTTCATACTTTATTATGTCTATATTTTATTTACATTTTATTTCAGAGAAAAAGGTACTGTTATCTTGTACTGGGAACTTTCGGAATTTCTCGTTTGGTTCACTGGCTTGTTCAATATTTCCATTTTACTTATTTGCTAAGCTTTCACTCGTTTCATTAAGTTTTCATGTATTATGCTTCATTTCAAATCTTATCTATTTGTTATCTATTTTCTGTATATTGAGCTTCATGTTTTATTACATTTAAATTTCATCCAGTTTATTTATATTTTATTTATATTTATTACGCTTCATTTGTCAAGCTTCTACTTTTATTGAAAATCAGCGGTTCACTCATAGAAACGACAGTGACACAGCCTCAACTTGGAAATACATTGTTATGGATACAGCGATTAATAATTATCTCCTCCCCAGGCATGTATATTCTTCAATGATAAATCATTAATTATGAATTTATTATTGATAGGCAGTATTAATATTAAACAATAAATCATTAATATTTATAATCACAATAAACGTACTATAAATTATGAAATGATATAAAACACAACAACAATAATAATAATAGTAATAAAAATAATAATAGTAATAATAATAATACATAAATTATAAAATTGTATTCTATATATATAATAAAACAATAATAATAATAATAAATAACAATAAATCATTAATATTTATAATCACAATAAATGTACTATAAATTATAAAATTTATTCTATATATGGTAATAATAATAATAATAATAATAATAATAATAAAACACAACAACAATAATTATAATAATAGTAATAAAAATAGTAATAATAATAATAATAAAACACAATAATAATAATAGTAATAGTAATAACAATAATACATAAATTATAAAAGTGTATTCTATATAATAATAATAATAATAATAATAATAATAATAATAATAATAATAATAATAATAATGATAATAATAATAATGATAATAATAATAATAATAAAACACTAATAATAATAATAAAAATAAAATAATAATAATAATAATAATAATAAAATGCAATATAAATAATAACAACAACAACAACAATAATAATAATACACAAGAGATACATATTTCTTCATACTCCAAACGTTTCTCCCGCTTTTCGAGAATTGTTTTATTGCTTGGCCAGCCTTTACAAGATACTGCGCTTGACGCTTCGGCCACGAGTTTCACGGGAATTTCATTAGACCGGAATCTTCATCGTTACTCTAATGCTTAACTAGCATTGAAAATGGAGATCTCCGGGCCACACAGCATGGGCCAGCGGTGATAATGGACCCTAAGCCAGTTACTTTGCCCTTTAACCCCCATTAAATAGCCCATCGTTGCGGTAATTCTACGGGAGTACCATTCGCTGCTTCGTATCATCGCGGATTTTTCCAAAATGCTCAACACTATAAAAATAAAAATTACTCAAATATAAAGTACTCATATATTCGTGATCCTCTTCACGGATATTTAACAGTTTAATTCAACCTGTTTCGAATATAATATCGTCCAGTTATTCAACATAGAATGAGTCTTTTAGTTAGTGTAAAAATATAATTTAGTTATTTGTAAAGATATGTCGATTCTTATCGCTTTTTAATACCTGTCATTGTGAAAAGGAATCTCGAGAGTCCTTTTTTCTCATCGACAATTTTATTTTTTACACCCTTTACTTTAATTATTCGTTATTATTTATCATTGGCATTATGGGAGAAAAGGGAATAGTAAAAATTTTTCCACTGTTTCGTGACTTTGTGCTGTGAAAATGTCACTTCGTTGTAAGCTGAAGCTTAAATTCCTAACTTTTGTTCGGTCTTTTTCCATGCATATTTTGTAGAAAAGTAAAAATAATATTATATATATGAAATTGTATATAATTATATACATATAGTATAACATGTTAAAGTATATAATATAATAATATTATAATATGTATAATATGTATTAATATAATATGTATAATATAATATAATATAATATATATTAATATGTATTTAATATGTATTAATATAATATGTATAATATGTATTAATATAATAATATTATATATATGAAATTGTATATAATTATATACATATAGTATAATACGTTAAGGAATAGCTACATTCTTTTGAAAATAAAACGAAAATGAACTATGATGGTATAATTACACACTATAACTACAACAAAAACATTACATAAATGTAATATAATAAATAACATTATTTTAGTAAAATTTTATACACAATATATGTGTAACATTAACACATAATAACTTGTCTGAAACTTACTGCAATATTTTAACTCATCATTATTTTATATAATATTTTGTATTATATAATTATATAAATTATTTTATATAAATTATCATTATTTTATATAATATTTTGATATTTACTATTATTTATTTATTATTGTTAATTATTTTGTATAATCATTATTATGTTATAACAGGAACAGAAGTTATTTTAAGTCTATTTTAAGTAAATTTCATTCAAGTTTCATTCAAGGACGCAGAGAAAATCACATTTCTACGCTCGAAAACATGCACAAAGATCTAAAAAACTATTTGACCAAAATAAAATTAAACTCTATGCAAAGAAACGTTAGGCAGGATTTAAAGAGTAAAGTCAAGCCCGCATTGGAACGTTAAATGAAATTTTCTTTCGAAAAGGGGGGAGAAAGTTCGCTATTGTTCGGAAAACCGATGCAAACTTTTGCCTCGGTATTTTTTCCTATCTCCTGGCAAATTAAATATATATATATATATATATATACACAACACGAGCACGATATATACTATGTTCCCATCGAGATAAGGGTAATAGGATGTCGAGCGGAGATAAGCTCGCCGTTTGAAATAAGCAAGCTAATCGCTTCGTCGCGGAAATTCGAGCGGAAGAGCGCAAGGACGAAAGGAAACAGAAAGTGAAAAAGCACGGTTTGCGAGTGTATTCGTTTAATTGCACGAGAACTACACTGTCAAACTGGTTACGCAGAATATGATCAATCCTCGACTCGATACTCGAAATTCAGCTGGATGATTTGAATTTGAGGAAAGGGAGGAGCTTCGTTTATTTTATTTATAAAAAAAATTCTTATATTAAAAAAAGAGAGATATTTATTTTTTTCTTTATTGGGTATTTTGTTTTTATTTTATTTCTTTTTAATGGTGAGTAATATAATGTATGATGTAGCGTAGTATTTAACGGTGAGTAGTATAGTATAGTATAGTATAGTGTATGCTGTAGCATAGTATAGTACAGTACTAGTGTATGCTGTAGTATAGTATAGTACAGTACTAGTGTATGCTGTGGTATGATATTGTATAGTATAGTACTAGTGTATGCTGTAGTATGATATAGTATAGTATAGTATTAGTGTATGCTGTGGTACGTATAAACAACATAGTATAGCATATATACGTAGTATAGCATAGTATAGTGTATGCTGTAGTATAGTATAATATAGTATTAGTATATGTTGTGGTATAATATAGTATAATATAGTATAGCATAGTATAGCTTATGCTGTAGTACAGTAGAGTATAGTATTAGTGTATGCTGTGGTATAGTATAGTATAGTATATGTTGCGGACAAATCTGAAATTAAATTATAGCTTAATTCGTAGTATAGCATAGTATAGTATGCTGTAGTATGGTATAATATAGTATTAGTATATGCTCTGGTATAATATAGTATAATATAGTATAGCATAGTATAGCTTATGCTGTAGTACAGTAGAGTATAGTATTAGTGTGTGCTGTGGTATAGTATAGTATAGTATATGTTGCGGACAAATCTGAAATGAAATTATAGCTTGATTCGTAGTATAGTATAATATAGTATTAGTATATGCTGTGATATAATATAGTATAATATAGTATAGTTTATGCTGTAGTTCAGTATAGTATAGTATTAGTGTGTGCTGTGGTATAGTGTAGTATAGTATAGTACAGACAAGTCTGAAATGAAATTATAGTTTAATTCGTAGCTTTTTAATAATTATTAGTTTCAACCGTACGATGGAAATAATTATTAGTTTGAACCGTAGAATTTTCATCTGAAATTATTACTGAAATTATTAGAAGAAATTATTAGATTTAATGGGACTGTGCAATTGAACTTACCGACATCTCCGCTGCGGGATGATCTATGATTTCTAGTTCTGTTTCTTGGCCGTTGAGCATCACGGAGACACTTTTCTGCCCGTATTCCTCGTCTGAAACAAATTAGAATGATCGTTTAAAATTAATACAATTATTATATAATTTACAAATTATTAGATATATAAATACAAGTATTAATAATAACAATACTGAATATAATTAATATTAATAAATATCATAAATATTGTATAGTTTATAAATTCTATACAAATTGTTTTCATACATAATTTAATATATAAATGTATTATGATATACCTGTAATACAATATATAATATATTCACATACATTTATATTTTATAACAATATATTTAATTATAGAATAATTCTTAATAAATATATAAATTATATTTTAAGTTAAATATATAATCATGTTATCTCTGCACGAACCTGTAGAAAATAATTTCCTATTGTGATTTCATAATGGTGCAAATCTGACATTAAAATAAGAAATTATGTAGATCAATTTGTCGCAAGATTGTTCAATATTTTTTAATGATACGTAGACTAGTATAAACAAAGTTATCGTATTTTAATAATAAATAATTAAATTACTAATATATAGTTACTATACGGTTGCTATATGTATAGTATTGTTATACAGTATTATATACAATAGTATTATATACAATTGCTATACTATATAGTTATATATAACTATATATTAGTAATTTAGTTGCAACTAAATTACTAATATATAGTTACTATACAGTTGCTATATGTATAGTATTATATACATATATATGACTATATATTAACTACATTATATATAAGCTACATTATATATAACTATATATTAGTATTGTTACAGTATAGTATTATATAGTTGCTATACTATATAATTATATATAACTATATATTAATTATTTAGTTATATTAGTTGTTTAGTAGCAACTAAATTACTAATATATACTACGCACTATAGTAACTACAGTAACTAATATATGGTTACTATACAGTTACTACAGTAAGTAACATATAGTTACTATACTATACTACTATACTATACTGACACATTATGGCCCCTTCTTCATTAAACAATTTTCGTATTATAATAATTCTTTATTACAATTTCGTATTATTATTATTATATATTTTCGTAGTATTATTTATTATATCTTCATGTTATAATAACTCTTCATTAAACAAAGTTCATCCATGCCTTTTTCCAAAACAACAAATATTCAACCTGATCAAATATTCACCCCGTGCAAATAATATTTCTCGTACTTTTTACCTTCTCCTCTGTAACAAACGTTTAACGATCATAATACAGAAAGCAGAAATTCCACGAAAAACGAGTGTCACTCATTTCAAAATCAGCCGAGAATTTTGTCGGACAATAACTGGCATTCGCAATTATTTACCTGCAATTTTAAAAAACATTTCGAACCAGTTCGTCTGTACTTTCAAACGGTGTATTTATCGGACGAGTTAAATTACGACCATAGACGAACGAACGGGACCAACGGCGAAAAAGTTCAATGCTTTCCGGTCGAAAGTTAATTAAAATCGCGTAATAAATCGTGCACACGCGAAATTACTACGTTTGCGAAACGCTCGTTACTGTTTAAAAAAGCGAATGTCAGTCGAACGTTTTTCCTCGAATGTTCGACGTGTTCTCGATTAATATTTTAATAATAATAATACAGCGTGATGTTTGATCTGATGGTTGCTCCGTCAGCCACGTGAAAAAAGAAAGGAGGACTATTTGCACGTTGTAATTCAATTTGCTGTAACGTGGAATCAGTATAGCCCCAAAAATCCTCTTAATTAATAATTAACCAATGTGTCATTTTTATTGTTGAACGCTTTAAATACAAAATACAAAATTGTTACTAGAATTAATTAATTATTACGTTATTAGTATTAGTGTTGATAGGATTTATATATAATTTATAAAATATAATAATATAATATAATATAATATAATAATATAATATAATAAAATAATATAATTTATATAATATAATATAATAAAATAATAAAATAATATAATTTATATAATAATATAATATAAGAAAATAAGAAAATAATATAATAATATAATATTAAACAATAATAAAATAATATAATCTATATAATATAATAATATAATAATAAAATTATATAATTTATATAATATAATAATATAATAATATAATAATAAAATTATATAATTTATATAATATAATAATATAATAATATAATAATATAATAATATAATAATATAATAATATAATAATATAATAATATAATAATAAAATTATATAATTTATATAATAAAATAATAAAATTATATAATTTATATAATAAAATAATAAAATTATATAATTTATATTATTATATAATTAATAATTATAACACAAATTAATAATTATTATATTTATTATATTATTAATAATGTGATGTGTTAATGTACTGAAATATAATATGATATGTACATCATATTATATTTTTGTATTATATTATATAATATACTATATAGAAAAAAGAAAAAAATAGAATCTAAGCAAAGGCTCAACCACTGACAAACAAATTGATTGACTCAAGTTTAGCTCAAAGATTAAAATTCCAAACAAGGAGCTTAGAAAAATAAAAGTAGAAGTATATATGTATACATGTATATAGGGGAAGCTTATCGATGTTGCCCAGTCGAAATGTGTCGGTAGATATTAAGTTCACCGTGCAACGCTGAAAATTGGAAACTTCCTCTCTTGCAGAGAGAGAACAGATGGTCTTTCATTTATAGTCAGCACGTCGCGTTCACGATCTCCAGTGTCTAAACGAGTTGGAAATCCGATTCGAACTGTAACAAATGCTCGCAACAGTCCTTGTGATTCTGCGATCTGTTCAATTTATCGTTAGAAAGAGAAGGAACCTTTTGTTTTCGTTTGGATCCAATAAAATTTCTTTTTGTCGCTGCGAGTATATTTAAATGTAATATTTAATAGCTTCTCGTAATTTATATATATATATATATATATATATATATATATATATATATGAAAATGATTAAATAATACACGTGAAATATTTATGCATACATAAAACAAAATAATTAAACGTGTACACATGGAAATTATATGAAAAAATTAATTGCAAGTAAAAGGTATACAGGAAAATTAATTAAATGATATGTACGCCTAAACGAAACTAAACATAAATATACATGAAACATAATTAATTAAGAAATAAAAATTATTAATTAATTCTTAATTAATTCTTAATTAATTAAGAAATAAAAATATAAAAATATAAATAGTTAAATAAAAATATTAAATCAAATTGAAATAAAAAAAATTAATAAATAAATATTAATATTAATATTATAATATTAATTTAATATAATTTAATATAATATATAATATAAATATAATATAATTAATATAGAATATAATACAAATATAATATAATTAATATAAAATATAATATAAATATAATATAATTAATATAAAATATAAGTATAATGTAATTTATTTTATTACAATATTAAATTAATTTAATATAATATATAATATAAATATAACATAATTAATATAAAATATAATATAATGTAATTTATTTTAATATAACATTAAATTAATTTAATATAATTTAAATATAATTTAATATAATAGATAATATAAATATAATATAATTAATATAAAATATAATATAATATAATTTAATGTATTTTAATATAATATTAAATTAATTTAATATAATTTAAATATAATTTAATATGATAATAAACTAATATAAATAATATTAATTGATGAATGAAAATAATTAATAAATAATTGACGACGTTTGCTTCAACAAACAAATGTAATTATTTTCTCACAATTGTAATTCACACACTGGGAGACACAACTTCACGATTTTGTGTTCACGAGAGAAATATCCTGCCGAAACAAACGTAATTCGTTCTCGTCGAGTTAACAGAATTATACTACTGTGCATGAAATTCGTAAAACAAACGCGTTACGTATCACACGATAGTGTCGTTCTACGTTTCCCCACGAAGTAAATTTCGTGTCAGGGCCAGTGAAATTTACAAAGAAAAAAAAAAAAAAAAAAAAGAAAAAGGATAAAGCGAACGTCTCGCACTCTTTCGTTCGTTAGTTGCTTTCAGCAGAGACAAACGTTGCTTCGATAGTCACTCCCCGTGCGGGGCAAATACAATTTACAATTCAGCGTGGCTCTCTTTGTTGCACTTTCGAACAGTTCGCAAGCCGAACGAAAGAAGAATTCGATTCTTCGACGGCTACGAAAGCTACGAACTTCGCCGAAGTGAATATCGATATTTTTCGCTGTTGGAAGTAGAGTTCAGATTCTCAACGTTCAGCTGCGTTCCACGTGATTATGTCTCTGTTAAAAGATTCCCAACGATGCACACGCGACACGACATGATAACTGAGCCGCGATTATTCATAATTAATCTCGGCTCGCGCGTTTTGCAAATCGGCAGAACAATTAGCAAACAAGGTAGTGAACATTATACAACTGAATTAACGTTACATCGCGTTGTGTTATAATCAAATGCGATGATAATCAAACCGAATTTATAATTAACTTCAGCCTCAAACGATGATAAACATTATATAATTGTATATTAATGTTATTATGTTATGAAAGTTAATTGTAATTAAGAAATCATGATACAGCAATTTTCAATTTTCAATGCAGATAATTATTGATAATCGTTAATAATTTATTTATAATTATTTATTATATTATTTATATTATATACGATTATTATTTATTATATTATTTATATTATATACGATAATTATTTATTATATTATTTATATTATATACGATAATTATTTACTATATTATTTATATTATATACGATAGCGATTTGCATTGTACATTATTATAATTTGCGAATGATAGATGTTGATTGTAAATTAATTGTGTGATATTAACAAACAGTAAATAAAAGATGTCAATTGTGTTATTTATAACTATAGTTTATCACTGATGTAGGATGTAATTCGTAACATGAAATTTGATTCACACGCTAAATATCGTAAAATGATAAATAAGCTTCGGATGACCATTGCAATTTTTATATCTGAAGTATATTCA